GCTTAGAGGAAAGATAGTCAAACTCATGGGAGACCTGCAGACCCAGTTTGATATGATATGTGGGATACTGGTGGAGAATAGACTTGCTCACTGCAAAAAAAAAAATTGGTTTGGCCAAAATAACATTTTTGCTCAGGTGGACCAAAATTCATCCATGTAGTATTTCAGTTAAGCCAAATTTCAACCATGCAATCATTTAGGGAAAAATGCTGCAAGAATGGGCCATTCAGTGTGTACATAATAGAAACAGTGTAGGCATATTTCTTTTTTATCAAGTTAGAAATAACTAATAGGGAGTTAAATAAAAATAAAATTATACTTATATATTTACTGCTCCCCCTTTTTCTCCCCTCCATTGTTCACTTGATCTGAGAATAAAATCAACATTTAGTGGCTGACCCCTAATCATCAAACATCTGTTTTTCCCATCATCCATCTGTTTTATTTTTGCCATAGCGATAAGTCTGAATCACAAAAAATGCAACAAACAGTTCATCTGTTGTCCATGTTGTTTGTTTCGTGATACATCCATATGGTGGTTTTGAGTTACTGAATTCGAGCATCCTGCTGATCACCTCAAATTTAGACAAATTGCAATGTGTTTGAAAATCAATGCACAGGTCTAGAGGATAATGGAATAGGTCCCTGTTATCCTAAACCAAGTAGAGTCACACTTGAAAAGGTACACCCCTCTCTTTCCAGAAAATGAGGGTTGTGGTCAGCGTGTAAGTATGTAGCCTTCTAGAGTAGAGTATTTCAGCTCTATTCATCCTCTCTGGATGCCACCAGGAAATTCCCCTACAATCAGAACCTACAGTACTGTACGTGAGGAAAACTAGCCTTTTATATAGGTGACTCAAAAGTTGTTATTTAAAAAAAAAAAAAAGAGTTTTGGGTTAGGTAAGGTAATACAGAATTGAGACTGGGACAAGTTAGAAGGATCACAGATTGAATGATCAGGAACAGGGTTTAACAGCAATATAATATTACAATATAGCCTAATATGCTTTTACATAAAATGATCAATCAAGATCTCTGGTGTCTCCCTAATGGGTTTCCACTTTCAGTTACACATACTGTATGATACTTTGTTTTGTTCTTTCCTTTTACTTATTGTATTTAAATGACATTTGTTATCTAGGGCAGGGGTAGGCAACCTTCAGCACTCCAGATTGTTTGGACTACATTTCCCCTGATGCTTTGCCTGCATTATGGCTAGAAGAGCTCTGTGAGAGATGTAGCCCACGACATCTGGAGTGCTGAAGGATGCTTAACCCTGATCTAGGGTATTTGGAAACGTAACCTCAACATCCATACTGCTGCTGACACAGCATAATTTCCAAGAGAAAATGTTTGGATAATAAACGGATCCTTCAATATGTAACAGATGGCTTCCAATCTACAAAATCCAAAGAATATTATAATTTTAGGACAAATTCGATCTAACAATAACTTTTTTTATTGTGTTTTATTGCTCTAGATAACTTGGAATACAGAAAGAAATCAAACAATATTATATATACACAATAAATTTGAGATGCAGTATAATATAATATGCAGTATAATAAAATCCAGTGGCTAAGTCACGTATATGACATGAGCTGATTTACTTAATGGTGTTGAATCTAATTATGCCTATTTAATTACATTATGATGATACAGTTTTGTTCAGACTGTTATCAATATAGCCTTGTCTTTATTTTACAACTCTCCTTAGAGTTGCTATTAGTTACACAATATTTGGAAGTGTAAGTATTAGTGATCCCTGAAAGAAGAAACTGTGGAGGATGTAAATATGTGGTAAGAAGCAATGTGAACATATAGTTATAATGCTTTAAAAAATAACATGCAATAGCACATATGCAGGGTTTCCTGTAAAGATTTGTGGCAAGTCTGAAGGTTTTGGATATCACCAAACACTGTGCTTCCTCCTTTGCGATGCTATGCCAGGCCTTTACTGAAGCAGTCTTCAGTTGTTATTAAGTGTTCTTGCATAGCAAGACCACTTAATGTTATCTCATATATATATATTATTATTCTTATTATAGCCAAATTTACCACCCTAACTCCTCCCACAGTTTTTACACTATATAGACAGTAATATGCCGAAACGTGCGTTCCCGATTGGTGTGTTATTACTTTGTGGAATGTTTTGCGGAATGGTTTACGGAATATCGTCGTTCTTGTGGCGAAATTGGTCCCATAGGGATGAATGGCAAAATGTTCAAAACTAGAGTGGGAGCTGGCAAAAGCTGAAAAATCAGGACATGATTTCTAAACTGCCACCACTCCCTCATTTTCAAGCCCACCTACACAAATCTTATATCACAATGTTCAGCTATCCCTGCTGCCACTAACAATGTCCACGGCTAAGCCATAGTCCTGATAGTTTTCACAATATGACCATTTGTTTGCAACTCACGCCGTCCATTGACATTCATTGAATCTCCACTCTAGCCAGTTCAAATTTGAAGGGTAATATCTAAACAGCGAATGTGCCTTCATTTCTAATATTTCAGAGACATCCTATGCATCAAAATGTAGGTCTAGGTCTTGTGATTCTCACAATATAAAGCTGTAGGAATTATAGTTTTTAAAATACGACCGTTTGAAAATGGCAACCGCCAAAATACTCTGACCTGTGCCAGGCTGGAGCAGCAAGTGATGTCATAGACAGGGC